TATATATATATATATGGCTGACACGACTGGTTTGTGGGGGTGTAGGGAAGGGCTGTCGATTCGGGATCCGAATGGATCGTACTTGATGGGGGGGGGTCTGCTGGACTTTGGGGATTGCTACACGGGGTTTCCCACGTCCAAGGTGCTCGTGCTCAAGAACATGACCGAGGCGGCGCTGCACATTGAGCTGCTAAGTGATCGGCCCAAGGAAGTCACGTTCGAGCTCAAACTCGCCCACACGAACCGCCATGCGATGCGGTCGACGCGGTCGCGCATGGGGTTTGGCAGTCTGGACGAGCCGCTGAGTCCTTGTGAAGGCGACCGCCGGCTGTCGCTGTCGCCGCCTCTGTCGCCGTCCAAAAGCACGATGATGTTGGCGACGGGGGGGGGCTCTCCGTCCGCCCTGCCGCCTTCGTCCCCGACCATCGGGGAAGGCACGCTCGACAGCGACGACGAGCCCGACGAACAAGACGGCGACTTCCACGACGAAGAGTCGGCGCTCTACACGCCTCGTAAACGCGGATCGTTTGACGACCAATTGCTCAGCGAAGCCGACGACATTGACGACGACATGGAGTTTGACGGGGACAAACAGGCGACGAGCAGCGTCGTGCCTGTTGCCACGTCACCGAAAGACGACGGCAAAGCGTTGGCGCTTTCAATTCGCACGCGAGCCAAGCAGAGACCCCACCGGCTGTCTCGGATGAAGGATTTGGTCGAATCCGGAGTCGAGAGGTATGCGTCCATCCGTATTCCATGTGTTGTATCACACTGTTGACCCTTTCAATTGTACGTAGCAGTGGAGCCAGCGTGTGTTCGTCGCCGGAACGCTACTCCAAGAAGAAGCATATTCAAGGAGGATCAACTAGTCGAACGTTCAAAGGCGCGTCGTCGGCGGCAGCGGCATCGGCGGCATCAGCGGACCACATGAACAATTACTTGGTCGAGGCACTGGACCTGCCGCCGGGCGTCGAACGCACCGTGCTCGTGTGGTACTGTCCGCCACTGAAAGCCATGGACGACACACTGAAGTGCTGTCGATTGACCAAGCAGAGCTTTCGGCTCAACTTTCGCTGCTACACGATCGACGGCGGCGGGTCCGGGTGGACGGCCGGAGGGTCCTCCCAACGGGTGTACGACCGCAGCCTCGGCAAAAGCCTCATGGTCGGTGCGCGGACGTGCACGTCTTATGTGACGCTGTCGCCGTCGACGCTGCACTTGGGGGACTGCAACATTGGCGAGTTCAAGAGCAGCTCGCTGACACTGACCAACCAGTCGGAGCTCCCGACGGTTGTCAAGCCATCGGTCGTGTCCAAGGTCATCTCGACCGCACCCAACGACGCCATCACGCTCGGCCCCAAGCAGTCGGTCGAGCTCAAAATCGAGATCATTCCGCGGAAAACCAACCCCAGCTACTCGCGCGTCGTGTCGGTGGTCAACTTGAACAACAAGGCCAACGTCGCCACCGTGTGCGTGCGCTCGAGCAACATGGACGCCCATCATGTCATCTACCACTCGCTCTTTTACAAGCTCGTGACCCCGTCCAAGTCGGCCTTTCTCAACTTTGAACACGTGGCCGCCAACTCGATGGGTATGAAGGTATTCATGTTGGAAAACATCACGCACGCCCCTCTGCGCCTACGCATCCAGTCGAGCGACCTCTCGCGCGTCCAGCTGTACTGCGTCGCCGATGCCACGACCAAGTTGGTCACGACCCCCACCACGTCGTCGCTCGTGTCCCCGCCGTCCATGGTCAACCTCCCGCCGCCATCATCCAAGGACGTGCGGGGCAAACGCGCCGCGCTCCGTCGGCGGCGATCCATTGGGTGTGTGTCAGAACTCGCTCCGAAGCCGAAAACGTTGACGTCGTCGGCGCGCATCGCAGACATTCTCAAGCGAAAAGGGTCTAAGCCCGTTCTCGTAGACGACCTCTTCACGCTACCGGCACCCGCGTCGTTGGTCCAGCCGAAAAAAGACGTGGACACTACCTACCTCCCTGGCGTACCCAGCGACATGCACGAGGTGCTTGGGTTGTTTGACTCGAACTGGCGGTGGGACCACGAAGACGAGATGGTGGCCATGGTCCGCGAGCGCGTCCGGCGGTTTCACGCGCTTGTTCTGGAGAAGCACATCGTCCCCATCTCCACGGCTACCGAGTGGAACCTCCGCATTCCACCCAAGCGGTCGTTTCCAATCCTAGCCGTGTTTACCCCCAAATGGGGCGACGTGGTCGAAGACAAGACCCGCGTGGAAAAGTTCAAAGTGTACATCACACTGCCCGCGGGCGGCAACAAGCCGATCGGGAAGCTCAACCATGACGCGTACGTACACCATCCGTTCGACACGCGGCCGTCCGTGCGCGAACTTCTGCTCAAGAGCCGCGTGTGCCGCAGCGTGTTGAACGTGAACCAAAAGAACATCAACTTTGGCCGCATCACGACCTTCTCCAAGAGCTCCAAGAAGGTGCTGATCCATAACGCGTCGGCGATTCCGCTGATTTACATGGTCGAGAAGACCGGATCCATCTCATCTGGGTTCGTCGAGATCAAGGATGGCGCGCAGGGCGTGATCAAAGCATTTGGAACCCGCCAAGTGCACTTTGAATTTCAGCCGACGCTCGCCGGCCCATTTGAAGAGAAGCTCAAGATTCTCAACGTGCAGGACACGGACAACTCTGTGTTTATCACGATCAAGGCCAAAGTCGTCAAGCGCGAGACGTTCAAGCTGCCCCAGGCCGGCCAACCCGTCAACGTCGGCACGTGCTTGGTGGGCGAGAAGAGCGACGTGTTCAAAGTCACGATCCGCAACATGAGCCGCAAGAAGCGCGAGTACGTGATCGAAGTGGACGCGGGCTTCTCGACGCCGTCGCTGCGTCCGACGTTTCAGTTCTCCATGGACGACGTCCCCGCCGCCAACATCACGCAAGCGCAAGAGAAGAAGCTTGACGAAGAGCTCGAAAAGCTCGAGCACAAGCTGCGCATTGCCATGACCAAGAAAAAGGACGACAAGATCAACCAACTCAACTCGAAAATTAGCCACGTCAAGGCCCTGCTCAGCGGCGAAGAAGTCGCGCCAGCCGCCAGAGCCATCTCGTACGACAGCGGCAACAGCGACACGGAGAGCGAAACCGAATCCAAGCACAACGCCCGCCGCAATAGCCGCCACAAATCACTCACGGCACTGCACACGAACAATGGGGCACCGACGCAGGTCAACATTTTGCACTTTACGTTGGAGCCCGAAGCGACGGGTCGAATCGTCGGCGACGTGACGTTCCACCAAGCGGCGACTACCGACACCGCGACCCCTCCTCCGGGTACAACGCACGCCCCCAAGCCCAGCATCCGGCACCGCGGCCAACGGCATCGCAAGGGAAAGACGTCGACCCTTGGGGCTGTGCCCGTGTTTGGCCACGGCAAGTTGCTCTTTTACGAGCAGCAGAACAAGGACGTGATGAAGGAGCTCCAGTACAAAGCCGACGTGTACCTCCGCACGCCGGCGGGGGAGGCAGCGTACTGCCGCACGACCCACAAGACGCTGCTGCCGCCCCTGCCATCCCTCAGACACAAAGCTGACAACCTCCACGCGTTAAGTGTGGACCTCAACTGCGACCAGCTGGGGAGTACAAGGGGGTACATGCTGCTGCTTCCCGTGGACGAAGCACCTTGCGATACGCCGGGGTGGAGCGTCCAGCTGCGCGTGCGAGAACCGGTGCAGGTGGAGCTGCGATGGCTGGCCGCCGACCTGCTGCAGGACTTGATCGTGTTTTCCGCCCAAGTACTCGACCAAGAAGGACCAACGTCGCTGCTGCCGATTACGCTGACGTTGGTTCCTGATACAACGATTACAGTGCTGTTCAAGTGGTCATTCTCGGCCAAGTGTGGCCAGGGATCCAGTGCGCCGCTTGGTCGGGTGTTACCGGTCGATGTGTTTGGTACAAAGCCGAACGCGGACCTGCCGGCGGGCCACCTCGCGTTTGCCAGTAGTAGTACTAGTAGTACTAGCGGCTTGGTTGGTCCGGTGGTGTCGTCCGTGCTGGACGTGGCCGTCGTCAAAGCCAAGCCACGGTCCCTCCAAGTGGACTCTGAACGCATCGATTTGGGCGAACTGCAGCTGGGTTCCCAAACGGCGTCACATTTTTACATTCGCAACGTGTCGACGCACGCCATCAAGTTTCTCATTTTGGTGAGCTCGGAAGACCCGAGCCAGCTCGCCATCGACAACGCCACCGGACGCATCGAAGCCTCGGGCACGACCATGATCCGGTTCACGTACACCGGCCTCGTGTCTGGCAAGCGGTCCGAGCACATTCTAGTGAGGAACTTGAGTGACAAACTGGATTTTACCACGCTTGGCGTCGCTGTGCGGGTCACGCGACCAGTATACGTCCGGATTCCAGAGCTAGATCCACACATGACGGGCCAGCTATTGGACCTGAACATTGGGCCGTGCTACGTGACGAGCGGCGACGAAGCCAACGCCAAGTTTAGCAAGATCCGAAAGCTAACGCTTGTATCGCAAGTGACGGACACGCTGCTGCTGAGTGCGTCGTCCAACTTGAAGACGCAGTGCTACGTGTACCAAGATGCGGCGCTGCAGCACGACGCAGCCAACATCGTGCTCCCGGGTATGGAGAGTCTCGACCTGTTCATTGCGTTTCGGCCGCGGCTCCCGGCGGACGCGTTCAAGACGGGCGTCGCGCGAGACCTGGTTGGAGGCATCCGCATCCAGCTGCACCGAGACAAGGACGAGTACGAACGAACACTTGCCGCCGAGTTTACCGTCAAGTTTGTGGGCGTGGCCGGGGCCAGCTTGGCGAGTGTGTCGTCGCATTTGCTGGACTTTGGCACTGAAGCCAACGTTGGGCGGCTCACGCGGTGCAAGGTCCACGAAGGCAAGTTTGAACTGGCCAATTGGAGCAAGTCGTTGCCGCTGCGGTACCGCCTGCATGTGACCCACGGCGACGCGTACTCGGACGACGACGGCAGTTTGCGCGTCGCGCTGCGCCACGAAAAGGGCGACATCCCGCCCGGTGAGAGCGGCGAGATCGAGTTTGGCGTGATGGCGTACACCCACGGGTACTTTCGGCGCCGGATTGTTGTGGAAAACGTGTTCAATCCCATGAACGTGAATATCGTGGACGTGGTGCTGTTTGTGGACAATGGCACGGTGTCGGTCACGTCCGGGGCGAGTGGCGGCAGCGTCGTGCGCTTCGGCAACCTCCCGCTCCTCCGTGCCGACGACCTCTTTGGCCACCAAACGACGCCGTCAGAGGCACACATCATGACGTGCACCCGGAGGCGGTACCGGATTTATCTCCACCCTTCCGTCCCACGCACCATCTTTGTCACGAATCGGTCTGTGGACGTCCTTCGACTGCGTCCGTTGAGCAACTTGCCGCTCCAGTTTGGGTGGCAGGATATGAACGAAGTGGCCAATCACCCGTTTGCGATGACCATCGATGGCCACAACGCGCGGGAACTCGTGTCCGTCGACCGAGCATCCCCCGTCCTCGCCGACCATGTCAACCACCACATGCTGTACCATGGGGACGTCGGGACGTGTCCGCCCCAGTCGACCGTGCAGCTGACCGTCTCGTTCGCGTCCGTGGCGAGCTCCCCGTCGCTGCCGCTGGACGTGATTGAGTCGGGCCGCACGATCCCCGTGGATGGCTTTGTGGCGCTGCAAAGTTTTGACGACACCGACAACGACGACGGGTCTGAGGCCACGACATTGGGGCTCATGCACGTGTCGGGCACGTTCGGAGAGTCCAAGCTCTCGGTCGTGAACCCGTCGCTGTCACTGGGTAAACTCGGGTATGGCCAGCCCAAGACGTTTGAGATCCAAGTGAAGAACCTGTCGGAACTGTCAGGGTTGTTTTACTTGGGCGCGTTACCGTCTTGCTTTCGCCTTGTGGACGTTCGAGGTGCCAGCAAAGCGCGGTCGTCGCAGGCGACGTGGCATGACAGACCTCTGCAGCACATCCCCCCCCTAAAGCACATGGCCGAGCGAGTGTGTGCTCCCGTGGCGTGGGAATTGGACGGATATGACTCGGCCATGCTGGAAATCGAGTGTCTCCCAGAGGTACGCGTATACTTAGCGTCATTCTTGAACCGACTGTGTTGGTGGTTGAGCTGCCCTCTTTTAGTGTCTCACGGCCGGCAAGCACGAGCTGAGTGTGTCGATTTTGAACGCCCACAACCCGCACAACGTAGAGCGTGTGGTCGTGCATGTGCATGTGATTGCCAAGTACGTTGAAGTATCGCTCGACCCGACGGCGCTCAACCCGTCCAAGCCCATGGAGACCAGCGTCGGGTACTTTGCGCCCTTGTCGCCGTCCACGTCGTCCGTCGGGCTCGTTTGCACTCTGGTCAACGTGTTTGATGAAAGCGTCGACATCCATCTCCAGTGCGACACGCTTGCCCACCTCAAACAGTACGTAGTAGTAGTTGGTAGTACTACTACTAGTAGTAGATACTAGTACGAGTATACTAGTAGTAGTAGTTAGATCGAAGCCCCCACCTACTTGTGGATGGATGCCACACGAATCATAACCATGGGCATGATGGTACTTCTACTAGACTGGTGGAGCTGGAAATTGTGTCGCGGTCGTCGAAAACTCCGGTGGCGGCGCTGACGTTGGCGCCCGGGGAACGCGTGGACGTCCGCATCATGTGTCGGTTGGCGGCGTCGCGGGGGGCCACTTGGCCGTTTTCGTTCACCAGCAGCGGCGGTAACGGAGCGGCGGCTTCATCGAGTCGATTCGACGACGCTGTGCCGTGGGGGGTCGTGTCGATTCGGGCGTGTTGCTCGAACGTGGTGCTGTCGTGCTCGGGGCGCATTGACCTGCACGGAAGTTTTGCACTCGGCCAGACGTTTACCGTGTCGACTACGTCAGTGTCATTTCAAGCGAGGGCGATCCACGAGCAGCAGCAACCGCCGCACGCGACCCCCCGCGCCTACCAAGTACTCCCCAAGCTGAGCTCGTTTACGATCCAGAACCCATCGACGACGTCGCCGCTCGTGTTTTCCATCGAGTCGACGTCCAAGCGATTTGTGACCAGTCGATTCCGGCTCCATGGAGGTAGTGACATGCACGATACCCTCGTGGCCAAGTGCACCCCCGACCACGGCCACATTCTGCCTGGCGAGTCGATGCAGATCGCCGTGGAAGTTGGGGCGTCTTCCCTTGGGAACAGGAGCGACGTGAAAACGATGCAAGTGATTGTGCGCGACAAGGATCAGTCCCATGTGACTGTCGACATTGTGATGGACCTGGACGACGAGTCATTCGAGGCCCGCCAATCGGGAAGCAGTAACACCGTCGTGGCATCGACGGCCCAGAGCCGGTCGTCTGGGCTGGTCGTGTCCAGTGACCAGAGCACGCGGGCGTCGGCAATGTTGGCACCTCCGTGTAAAGTCCCCACGACGACCGCCGTCACACCGGCCGTTCTCGGCGACGATTCCAGCTTTGAACAACGACCTGGTGCAGATGACGGCGACGATCTCTCCCCCTTGTCCCCCACGACGACAACGTCCTGCCCCCCGTCGTCTTCTTCATCGTCTGATATTATCACGTTGCGGGGGTGTACCCCCGCGGAAAACTCGACCCTTGAGAACGCGCTGTACGTGATCGACGTGGGCCAGCACACGGTGCGCAGCGGCGGCGACGTCGAGTGGGAGATCTCCCTCCACGTAGAGCGGGAAGTCGAGTACCGGATGTACTTGGCGGATGCGAACGCCAAGGCGTGGCTACAGCTCAGCCGCACGCACGGCACGATCGTCAGCTTTCAAACCATCATTCTGCGGCTCGTGCGGGACGTCGTGGGCGTGTTCTCGACGTTTGTCGTGCTGGAGAACTGCACCAACCCGAGGGACCTCAAGCTCGTGCGCGTCAAGTTGGAAGTGATCGCCGACCTCAACGCCGTCCGGGCCATGTCCAAGGCTTCCGACAACCTCTTCCGGGTACTCGTGTCGTGCTACTCAAGCTCCAAGCGCCAACGCCGCAAGTCGAGCGAAGATCTGCTGGGGGGCCTGACGTCTGGCAAACTTGAGATCGAGTACGGCGATGTGTTTTACGATAAACTGTACCACAACCACTCGCTCGTGCTGGAGAACTTTAGCGGCCTCTCGCTTGACTTTATGCTGACCAGCAACGGCCGCGCCCACGAAGTCGGGTTCTCCATGTCCCCCAACTCGTTCAACGAGATCTCGTCCGTGACCTTGGCAGCGTATGCCCGTCTCCAGGTATTCCTCAACTTTCGACCGGCGCCGCGCACCCAAACGCCTGAAGCGCCCACGATCAGCTGGGTGCGCAACATCGAAGTGTACGTCAACTGCCGCCTCGTCAAGGACTTTCGTGAGACAGTGTTGCTCAAAGCAATCTGCAACTACCCCCAAGTGAACCTCCACATTGCACGCCATCAGCCCACGCCCGGCCACGCCGCGAGCTACCACGAACCCGCCGCGCCGTACTTTCCATCGCAGCCGACGTTCCTTGGCATGGGGTTCATGGCCCCCGAGAGCGTCCTCGTTGGCGACGGCGGCGAGATCGACGCCAAGTTCCTCGTCATGAAGAACGCGACGCAGACTGCCAACGCCCACGTCGCGATCCGCAACGACAGCATGTTCTTCGATGTGGCGACGGATCACATTTTCCGCGCGGCGACGGGCACGTGCGAGGCAGCGGGAGAGGGGTGGACCGGGATGGTCAAACTCGAGCCGAGCGACGTGGCTGTGTTCAGGATTCGGCCCAACCTGGAGCTGCTCCGAAAGAACCGCCAGCAGTGGGAGCACAGCGTGAAGGAGCACATTGCATTTTACAACATGAAGCAGTTTGCCGAGCACTACCATGTGTCTCTGAGCTTCACGCCGAGCAACACGTCGAGCTTTTACGTGGCGCCGCAGCTGCGGGAATCGTACCCGTTCTCGACCCTTGAAGACACGATCGCCAAGTTTCTGCGCCAGTACAACGGGTTTTGGAAGTGGCTCGCGATGGCGCTGCTGACGGCGGAACACGATGCGACGGCCATGCTGTTCGACCTCGAAACCGCCATCGACCATGTGCTCCCCGTGAGTCCCCGCCCCCATCCATCGCCCCACGCCCGCGACCTGCTCCAAGATAACTTTGCCCAAGCATACCGCGCCCTGTACTTTGACTTTTACTACATCACAGACGAACTCATCTGGTACGGGATCCGCAGCAGCGCCGGCCGCCACGCCATCACGCTGGCCGACCTCGTGTACGGCGTCGTGTTTGGCCATGAAGTGTTTGGCGCCATCTTCAACCGCAGCACCCGAGTGGACGGTTCGTTCCCGCCCACGACCGTCGCGTTCGCCAACCAACGCCTCGACATGCGCAGGCTGCTGTTGCCGTGGACGCGCCAGCTCGGGTACTTTCTGAGCTTCTTTCCGGAAACACAAGAGGCCACGCTCGCGCTGAGGCAAATGTACGAGCCGCTCAAGCAGTTTGACATGCATAGGTAGTTAAAAGACACGGGGACAACATCAACGTAGTACTACTAGTTGGAGGCCACTTGGGGCATTATTGTTAACGTGTATCATGGTGGTGTGGATATATCTACTACTACTCATCCCCAGTCCGCAAGGCCGTGGTGGGAGAACACTTGCGGGGGCGCAGGCACCATGGATGGAGGGAGGAGAAGTGGTTGGGCGGACGAGTCGTTGGTCGTGCCAGAGGTCGAACTGACAACTGTGGTCCATGGCATGGATGAGACGGATGTCCTTGGACGCTGGAAGCGGTCATACCATTCCTTGACCTTCATCTTGTGGAGTCGGCCGCGAGTGTGCCGCCGCCGCGACTCGGACGTGTCCGTGAACGACTTTTGGCAGTACTCGCATGTGAATCTCGATTGCCCCATCGCAATGAAAAAGGCCGACGTATTTCGGATAATACGGATCATTATCCGGAGGATTGCTCTGCCCACCGCTGGAAAGGAAGCAAACATGAACGTCCACGCATGCTTGGACATATTGAACGCGCGCGCCGGGTCAAAACATACGCATGAAGGTGAAGATGGACACCACCATCATCACGCTGCGTGCGTAGAAGAGAACGCAAGTAGATGCTTGGATCTCAAAGTCGATGCCACCAGCGAGAATTCCACGATGGAACCGGAGTTGGAGGCCATGTCAGAATACGAACTGGTCAAGACGTTCCACGCATGCCAAGAGAAGCGTGTACTCGTGTACCAGCAGTTCGAAAAGTACTCCTTCCCTTCGCATGAACGGCGTACTTGATGGCATGTTTGCCATAGGGGGTTTCTCGAGCTGATGTTCACGGACGCATTGCCGCTGTTCTGTACGTTTGGTCGTCGTGACGAGGTGCTCATAACCTTCTTGGCTTTGGTAGCGCAAGACATCACGAAACAGTTCTCTTCCATTAGCAACCAAGTCAACGCCATTGAGGTACATCTTTGCATGTCCAAGAAGACCCGTCTCACAAAAAGTAGCGCGCCCTCCGCGCCAGGCCAGTGGCGCCATCGATCCCAACCATCTTGCGCAACGTTCAACATGAAGAAAAGGAGAAACTCCTTCTGGTTCGTCGACTCCTTTCATGAATACGTTGTGTACACAACACTGACCAAGTCAGTAGACATCGGCGCTTTTGCTAGAGAACATGCGACTCAAACGTCAGGTGACCGCCGACCCCGACGACTCTTCGATCCCCATCTTTGAGTCGTCCATTGCGTCCATGCAAGCCACCCACACGGCCATCGTCGAGCGCATCAACGAGCTCCTCACCGACCTGCGCTTCGAGGTATGCCGCCATCCATCGTTGTAGCCCCGACATGTACTCACACTCATCTGTAGATGGAAGACATCCCAGCGTAGCGACGTCAAATGCAACCATAGAGTGATTAAACCAAGCAAAACTAAACCACCATACATTGCCGTGTCTATGCATGAGAAAAAGGCTCGAGGTTGGATTGAAATTACAATGCCTTCTTGGCCGCCTTGGCCTGCGCACCCAGCGTAAACACTTCGGCGTCATCAGGCACGCTCCCGTGACGGACGAACAGATCCAGCGTCTTGAAGTACGCGCCGACGATGGGCTCCGTGTTGACGCGGACGAGATGCGGGTACGCCTTGCGGAAGTGGCTCGTGGCTTCGTTCAGCTTGTAGTGCGGGATGATCGGGAACAAGTGGTGCACTTGGTGGGTACCGATGTTGTGGCTTAGCTCATCCACGAGCCACCCGTAGCTGCGGT